TTTTTTTCTATTAGTAAACATTTAACCTACCTTGCAAATTTATTTATAAATAATTTCAAAAGATTTACTTTTGACAATGTTAATTTCCTTCACTTAGTTATCATAGTAGTATCATGAAAACTATGAAGCTATTTGTAGTATAAATATTTCTTGTAAATAATCTCACTATCGATTTGACTGTTTTCTTTGCTGGTTTGTTGTTGTATTGTTGACGTGAAGTGTTTACATAGTTATCGATCGAATTAATCATAATGTTATTATCGATATCAACTGCAATATCGGCAGTATGTCGGTATTGCAGATGAAGTTCGATAAACAAATTTGTAAATTGAAATCCATATTAATAAAAATGTTTAAAAAAAATATGCAAGTAAATTTTAGCATATATTTTGAAAAGAGGAGAGGAGTGGGGGAAGGAGGGGAGAGCCCAAAAAACGGCTCTGGCCCTTCCCTTTTACCTCTCCTCCTCTTTTCAGTTTATATTTTTCGTATTTATTTGTTAAAAAAATATTTTTTTACATTTCCATGACGCATTCTTTCAGAACTATATTTAATATAGTTTTTAGTTTCATAGAGTTTCCTGACTTAAAAGCATTTAATCTATTTGGAAATCAAGAAAGAAACTAACGTACTTCATTCCTCTATGACTCTCCAGACGCTAATGATGAAAGCGTGTAAAGTATTGCCATGGGTAGAGAGTTCTGCACTACGCCACCTGTAGCCCATTTCGATCGCCAATACTGCTTAGAGCGTCCTCTATGAACGTACTTTACTTCTGTTTCCATCTTTGAAATAATCATTAAAAGTTTTAGTTCAAATAATCATTAAAGACTTGGCAACATGTGTTGCTATGGAAACAGCATTTTGAAACATGTTATCATAAAATACAACTCTAACATAAAACTTTTTAATGATACTGTAATTTAAACTATATGAAGTTTTTTTTTCTAAAAAAACAATAGTACAAATATGTGGGAAAGAAATAAGATTTAAAAAATGGTAAGTTATACATTATGATTAATTTGGTTTGTTCAGGCTCGTGATTTATTTTTCTTTCGTGCCTAGTTTGATTTTCTGTAAGTTGGACATTGGGTCCAGTGGAAGTGAAGAAATAAATAGAATTATCATTATTATGAAAATAAATTTCTATTTCAAATACTACCTTTTCAACTGTGTGTTTTTCTCCTTTTTTTTTTAGCTATTGTTTTGCACAGCCTGTCTCAGATCTCTCAACTCTTAAGCGTTTTTGGTAATTAGCAAGGAGTAAGGTACTTAGGGATAAGGTATTTTTTTTCAGTTAGCTGGGTGCAAGGCAATGAAACTATTTTTTTTAAAACTTTTTATTTTATTTATTTCATTCATTGTTATTCATTTTTTTTTTTNTCTTTTTTTCTTTTTTTTTTTTTTTTGGTGATAGTTTACTATTGTTGGCCCTTCTTATATTTGGTAATTTTAACGTAAACTTATAATATGAAAATGAACCAAAAACCAACAACTTAGCGAAAGATACTGTTATAAGATATCATGGTAACCAGAAACCTTCAGCAAAACTGAAGGAAACCAAAGGGAGCCTCTCATTCTACACCTCAACCTTTTTTTTTGTAATCATCAGTTTTTTTTAAAAATTATAATATAAAAATAATTTTAAAAAATATCAACATTTTTTGGCAACTTTCCGTTTCTATTTTAAGTAGTAAAAAGCTTATTAAAAAAAAGATATGGCAATTAATAAACTATAAAAAAACTCAAAACATCTAATTGTTACAAATCTTATTAGTATTTTATTACTAACCATCCCATAAGCAGAATATTTTCAAATGTTCTGCAACAGGACTTATTAATTCATACAAATGTTCTGCAAGCATTTCACGGCGGAAAAAAGTCAACTTTACGTTTAAATACTATATTTTCATTTATTAAAATACAGGATGCACTACATTATTTTTTTAAACCAAGGTAAACATTCTTGATTTTTTACTTTTTTAATCACTTTTGGAGTACAAATTTTTTTTAATGACAATGATGAATTATTAATAAATAGCCTATCATATGAAGGTCTGAATATTAGAAGGTCTTAAAAATCTTTCGAAGAGACAAGTGTCCACATGGTGCACCATTTGCTAACACAAACATTCGCTGGTCTGTTGTTCCAACTACTTCTTTATCTCCATCGAAAGCATTTGGTCTTTTAGTAACAATTCTGTCAATCGTGGATCCTCACGATTCACAAATTGTTTCTGAAATAGCAATGGAAAATATAAAAGTCATAAACTTTATGAAATTGGAAATCTCTGAATTTAACGAGTAAAGCGGTCTATCAAAGATTTTTAAGTCTAAAATCGAAACATAAGAAAATTTATCAAAAAATGTGGGGGTGATGAATGAGGTGAGAGGAAATGTTCTGCAAGATTATAAGGGGAAGCTTTTAAACCTTCAGGTCATTATGGTCTGCAGAAGAATATATGAGATTAGAATTGGGGATTGTTCTGCAAGACTACTGGAGGCAGGTGGGAGGGGGAAGGTGGGTTCACAGGAAAACTTTGCCACTTATTCAAGATGCAAATTGTTCTGCGACGTACGTCACAGTTTTAGGCACTTTCTGCGTCTGGGCTTACCATGTAGTGTACATGCTTTTAGAATATTTTACTTTGCTTCGCTTGTTCTGAAATATTTTAAAAATATTTCTTATTTTATTATTTAAATCGTAGCGCTTCGCGCTGTCGTGCCGCAGGTCCCTGGTTCGATCCTCGGGCCGGGCAAGGTTGACTCAGCCTTTCATCCCTTCAGTGGGTCGATAAATGAGTACCAAGCATGCTTGGGAACTAAACACTGGGGGTTCCACGTTCGGCTGACCACCTGACCGGAACATCTGCTCCTGCACTCCAGAGCCCAAGGTCAAGAAAACTGAGATGGGCACAGTAGACCTTGGCCCTCTTGGGCTGTCGTGCCGCTGAGTTTAGTTTTTTATTATTTAAATCATATTTCACTACCTTGGTCTGAAATATTTTTAGAATATTGCTTATTTGATTATTATATTATTTAAATCAGATTAATAACAAATGTAGTCACACAGAATAGCGTTGAGATGGGAGGTCACTGTGACCTCCCTAAGATTTTTATTATTCGGTAAATTTTGTCTGGCCATTCGGCATATTTACAAAAATCTGGTTTTTAGAAAACTGATCTCAGTAAAACAATTTGTTTGCAGTTTTGTTCATTGGTTAAAGATTAAAAAAAAAAAAAGAAAGAAAGAAAGCTTAAAAAATTCCGCTGCTGATGTTTCTTCATTATAAGTAAGAATAATTGCAAGTGCTAATTTACAATTTGGTCAAATTAGGAATTTCATTTATCAAAATGGGAATTTTCCCCCTCCCAAAGATTTAAGTTTGCAGCACCCCTTGTTACACAATAGTATGTTTCATTATTAAATTAGTGATATGTAGATTATTTTTTAGGAAGTATTATAATAAGTGGCACACTGGACACTTGAAAACAGGAAATAGTAATTTAATTAGCACATTAATCAGAAAGAAAACTTAATATGAAATTTTTAAAAAAGTTCTAATTCATTCACTCAATCTATTTTGAAATGATTTATTTAGTGCTTTTTAATTTTGAAGAATAAAAAGTTCTTTAAACAAATATAATTTAAATAATATCTGGGTTCTTTATCATATAGTTTTGTATGTAGTGGTCATAAAAAGTCTCAGACTTTCTGAATTCCCGAGGTAGGCAGGTTTGTTATATTTTATTTATTTTTTACTTCATGCCATTAAATTCAATTAATGTTATATGTGTTCATATGTTATTCTAATAAAATTTTTATTTTTCAGTTGCTTTCAAGAACTAAACCTGCTCAAACTACTGGGAATGCAATTGCTTCAGAATCGAAAAGCAGATCCAAAGTTCCTACCTTAGAGGAATTTGTCAAAAATAGAGATTTTACTGGAGCTCTTACATTATTAGAGGTAAAATGCTATTTTTTAGTCTTGGTTCTCTTGGCAAAAAAGTAATACTATATTGTTATTTTCTTTAATATAAAAAATAAATATTTTTTAATCATTGTAATATTTTTCAGGTTATAAAAAATATTTTTAATTATCTCAATATTTTTCAGGTTAAGATATTTTGAAATAAACAGTACTTATTATTTATCAATTAATCCTAACCATTCTTATATTAAGTACTATGTCAGCTTGTAAAATGCATTTACATTATTTTCCTTCTGTATCTAGTTTAACCTATTTCATTGATAATATTAGCCTCATGATAATTTTTCCTTTTAACTCAAAGATATTTAATTTTATACCTTAATTTTGTGTACTTACATTTTTACTTTTATTTGAACAAAGAAATCGGTTAATTAAACAAAGTTCGTGTTTAGATATAGTGAAATAATAATTTATAATTGTTTTTTTAAAAAGTTAATGTGTTGAACTTAAATTTGGGTGTTTTTCAAAAAGCACTGCTGCTTCAGTTTTATCCTAGTTATATCACAACAGCAGCATTCTCTGTATTTTATTCTAGTTTTAAGCACAGTATGTCAAAAAGTTTTACAAATTTTCAAGTCTATAATATTATTATAGTTTTTAATGTAATTTGTTTTAACTGCAATAAAATATTTTCATTCTAGTTTACTCGCAATAGTGGAAAGGGTGATTTGAAAAATGATTTATGGATTGCTTATTGTTCTTTTCATCTCTCTGATTACAAAAGAGCCATGGAGGTATAATATCATTTTATAAAAGTTTTTAATATAAAATATCTATTCATGTGTAAGGTATAGTAAGTTATTGTATCATTAGGAGTTGAACATGTTTTGGTTTGGTACAACTGTAATTTTCAAGATATTTGTTTTATTTTAATAATTAACTTCTTCAATTTAATTTTTAAGATTCAAAATTTGTCTGAATTGTTTTTATTGATGATAGAAATTTAATGTTAAGTTGTAAAAAGTTAGCATTTTAAAAATAGCTGTTGTGAAAAAAATTGGGCAAATTTAAAAATCAGTAATTTTTAAAATATTTATTTAATAATTAGTTTATTTTATTTAATTTTTAAGATTCAAAATTAGTCTAAATTTATTATTATTATTAATTATAGAAATGTGATGTTTTGTTGTAAAAAATGGGTATTTATTTATTTAACAATTAGTTTATTTAATTTAATTTTTAAGATTTAAAATTAGTCTAAATTATTATTATAATTATAGAAATTCAATGCCTACTTATAAAAGTTGTTAAGAATGAGAATTTTTTTAAAAAATAATTTGCTTTCCACTTTGATTCTTTATCAAAACATGCATATTAATGCTGACAAGTACACTAAATAATTTTCTCATTAAATGAAGAGTTTGCTCAAGCTTCTTGTTTAAAATGCATAGTAAAGTTTGCTTCTTAATAAATACTTAATTTATCATTTGAGTCTTTTTTATTTTTTTACAAAAATAAAACTCAAGTTTTTGTGCATGATGCGATTGTATATTTTGCGAGGTCAGGATCTGCTTTTTGAAGAATGGCTGTGCCAAATAAGTCAAAGAAATTATTTACGTAATTTCTTTTTGAATAATAGAGTTTGAAAAAAAAGAATCTAAACTAACTTTATTCCAATGTTTCATTTTAAATATAGGTTTTTGTTCAATAATTTAATTTTACTTTTAAATTTTTACATTGTTTCTACGAACCAAGTGGCAAGTGCATTTTGTGTTAGTTCAAATATGCCATGAGCAGTATGAAATGAAAGTTAGGAAATTACGACTTGCTTATTTTTGTTACATGAGCAATGATTGCATAAGGCACGCAATCCCTTCTATTTGATTAAAATCCCTTGTAAGTTGCTTTAATATTTAAATTTTGTAAAAGAATTTTACTTTGGCATATATTGTTAAATAGAACATGAGACTGAGCTTGTCAATTTTTTCTACCTACAGACTGTATATGTCAGGAAGACCATGAAGTAACAATATATTGTTGATTATACTATGATATCTGCAATAATAAAAATAGTGAAATATTTTAAGTTAAAAAAAATGCAATGTATTAGTTGCATGTTCTAAATATATTGTTTTAATGGCAAGTACTCCATTTAAAAGGATAGTAAGATTATCCCTGTGCTAAAAACCATTTTGTTTAGTTGAGCATAGTCTACTTTAACTCTTTTAGCTATTTATCCCACTATCAATTTAATTCTTTAGTTGTCCTCATTTATACCTTGTGCCACTAAGCCCTACACTCAATCAATTCTTTAGTGGAGTATATCATAGCTGTAAGCAAGATTAAAAGTTCAAATAAAACATAGTTAAAACTATTTTATATTCATGTTTCAACCCTTTTATTTGTATCTCTAATTTGAAGAAAAAAAATGTGATTTAATTTAAACTTCAAAATTATTATTAATATTATTTTTAATTATAGGTAATTCCATTTTACAGGGTATCCGCACACCTGGAAAGTCATGAGTTTCGGTACTGAACAGAATTTGTCATGATTTTAGCTATTTTTGTGAAAAAATCATGGAAAGTTGTGAATTTAAGTTGTTGAAAAATCTAATTTTTAAAATGGAATTTAAAAATACCCCCACCCCATTTTATGGTGTTCTGAATATCTGAATTTGTAATAAAATCTTGATTCACAGTCATATTTACCAACAAAAAAAAATGTTTTTATATTCTTTAAAAGTTATGGTGTTCTTTCAAAAAATGAAAGAAAAAACATCATTTCTAGAGCGATTTATCGTGTTTACAGAATTTTTGTTATTATTTATTTTTATTTTATCAATTTAAAATTCTAGCTGAAACAAGCCAGTCATTAACGTCATAAAAAAGTCAAGGCCAACGCCAGTCATAAAAAAAAAATTTTGCTTTTGTATTTTTTCAGCTATTTTATTGCTTCAACCCTTTCTTTGCTCTGTTTTTTAAATTTCAAATCTATATGAAGATGCGGAGTATAACAGTTTTGGTTATACCTATCATTTAAGTTAATGTTATTATAATGCTTTTTTAAATTTATTGTTGTGTTTTTGTTGGAGAATTCGTGAACCTCGTGAAGTCATCAAAAATTCTAGGAATTAGTCATGAATTTGAAAATCTAAAATGTAGCAGATGCCCTGATTTTAGTTTTAGCATTTTAAAATTTGTTTCAATAATTTAAATTTTTTCTGACTTATTTTCAAACTTAGTTTTGTCTTATGATTTCTTATAAACTCTCTTTTTTAGGAGTATACTCGAATTCTAAAAAAACCTGATGTTCCCTTAGAAGTCTGGACATTTATAGCATGTTGCTATTTTTATCTTGGAATGTACAAAGAAGCTGATACTGCTGTTGCAAAAGGTAATGTTTTATTTATGGATAGTTTGTAATACCAAATGATTTTTGTTTTGTGTTTTATGTTTATTTTTAGATAATTTTTTTAACAGAGGCTTTTATCATTTTAGAAAAAGTCACAACTTTGTGCTTTCTAGTTATATTTGTACATTGATGTACAGAGTGCAAAATATTAAAGAGTTGACACCTTAAAAGGCCCTTTTTCTCCTTGACCAACTGTCGAAGGGGTAGAGACAGGAAAGGAAATTCTAACTATGCTTATAGTCCTTTTCAATAAATTTATGATGGATACTTACTCAATTTGACACTATCTTTCAATGCAAGTAAAACATAAGGCCGTCATTCAATCAGAATTTGAGTTATAAAGCATTCAGTATTTTAGATTCTTTATTAGTTTTTTCTAAAAAATTATGCCAATACAATTCTGAAATCAACAATTTTTGAAAGATATTTAATTAGTTTTTAGATTTTTGATAAATGTATAATATTAACATTAAAGGAAATTTTTAGCGACACTCGATTCGGTTTTTCTCCTTTAGATTTCGTATAATTTTAAAGTTTTGAGGAAAAATTCATAGAAGTTCTAAAAATTATCAAGTGCTATTTCCCCATATCTAATAAAGCGATCCCTTTATATTTTATGCCTTTTTTCGAAACGTATTGCTCTGTCTAATAATACTACATCATCAAAAGTTTGTCAAGTTCAAAAAACAAAAAAAAACACGCAAATTAAAAATTTCACTTAGCAACCAAGATGGTATAGCAGCCTCTTAAGAGGACGCCATACCATGGGAGAAACTTCTCATCACAAATTCTCTTTCCCCTCCTGATAACTCTCGTGACTAAATTTAATAAAGTAAAAATAATAACTTATGCTGTACCACATGGTACCCTAATATTAGATCAGTAACTACAAAAACACTACTGCATGTGGTGGCAAGAAAATTAATTACCACAAATTTAGAAGAAACTGTTTACTGAAAACTTAGAACATTATTAATAAAATTATATTACCAATACATGTGCACCTGAAAGATTACTAAAACTTAAGTCATATAAAGTTAGTACAATGCTATTATCGAGTTCTCTAGAATAATAATTATTTTTAAATAAAGTTACATGGTTGGAAAAAATAGATTGAATAAGATAATATACAGGACTGAAACACTAAAAAATATACTCACAACATTTATTGAGCTGCTGAAATATCAAAGGGAACAAATCCTTCAAAAAATAATTTAAAATAGGTCAAAATTAATAAACATTTTGAAGCCAGAAGAAATAAACTTCTGTAAAAGAGGTAGGGAAAAAATAGCAAATGGATCGGAAGGGATCCTGGTTTGTCACAATTTCTAAAAGTATCACACCATCTTCATCTACCTACAGTAAGGCCGGAACCATCAGCCTAGGGGCAAAAGCCCCCTTGCTACGAGGAACTCTATCTGACTGACAAAAAAACCATCTTCAAACTCTTTTTTTTGCTTTGCCACACTAGGAATCAATAGGAGAGTTATGCGAATGCAGTTTATCTACTACGGATCCTTGACCCCTTGCTGACGCGGGCAGTCGGAAAAATACTTAAGTGTCTATCCTCCGAATGGGTGGACACTCTTCTGTCTTCATGCAGCTTTAATCTTCATGTATAGTTAAAAGTTCAGTGACAAAATTGAGGCTTTTAAAACATATTACAATTAATTAAAAATTTAAAGTATGGAAAAAGTGAATTCTAACAAATTTAGAGTAAGCCATGAAGTTTCCAATACTGAAAAGAAATGTTTAAAGTATCAAAATGAAAGTAAATTATGAAAATATAACTTCAGACAGGAGAAGTTCTCTTCTAATAATGTGTTTGCATTTTGATATTTTTAATTTTCATTTCTCATGAACCATTTAATCAATTTCCTGCAAATTTTGTATTTTTTTCATTAATATTCATATTGATTCAGTTGTATAATGTCATAAAAAGTTGTATACATTAAATTCAAAATGTGTAAATGTGTAATATATTTATTAGTAAAAGATTATTTTTTGCACTGAAAATATGTTAAAAACTTTCTCATTTAAAAGATATTATGTCTAAGTATCAACTTGCATGTCTTTGCTTTGCAGAAACCTATTTAAATCATCTGTTGTTTTACAATGTATGGAAATATATTTTGAAAAGCAAGTTTTGTAATTATGTGCAAGAGCTTCATTAGTTTTGCAAAAAAAGGTGAAGTATGCAAAAAGACATTTATTTTAAGGGACCCAAACTTTTGACCACTCTCCTGTCTAAACTCTTAGGGCTAAATTTTTCAGATTGCAGTTATTTTGAGAGATAAGAATTCAAATTCGAAAAAAAAAAATTTTTTTTTTTTGCTTATTCAGGAGAAAATGTTTTTATGTCGGATTTTCTCCTTAAAGTATCTATACTAATTAATTAGCATATTTAAGGCTCAAGCCATTAAGATTGAGTCTTAGTTTGTAAAAATCTGATCTTTAAATCAAAAGTTAATTAAGTGTTTATGTTTTTTGTTTACTGCACATTAACTATTACAATTTACATTTATCTTAATCAGGTTCAAAATCTGAACTCCAAAATAGACTGCAGTTCCATCTGTCACATAAGTTTGGTGATGAGAAACTACTTATGGTATATCATCAACAGCTGAAAGATATACTAGAAGATCAACTCTCACTTGCCTCTATACATTACTTGCGATCACATTATCAAGAAGCTATAGATATCTATAAGCATATACTTCTGGACAACAGGTTAGTTTGAATCAGGGCCCCATCCTTAAGGTCTGGTTTCTTAGGACAAGCGCCTTATCTGGGCGTCGGTGTGACGTTAACGTCCCGCTGACGCCAACAAAATACTGGTTTGTTAGCTCAANGTCTTTATATTCGTGCTAAATCTTGGATGTATTTTAACTATTCTTTTCTATTGGATCTATAATTCATGTAAGTTATTATATTAATGTGACTAATATCATTTCAGTTAATGTTCCTTCATATCAGGATTCAGGAGTGTAATTTTTAAAATAACAGCACGGAACTTTTTGTCCATTTTCAACTTTTATGTCATAGAAATTAATGAAAAATTATAACTATAGCAGACTTGTGAGCTTGTGTGGTGGGCAATCCCTAAGAACTGCTGCGAGAAATGTCAAGAAAAATAAGAAACAAGGTTGACATAATTAAAAAATAAATAAAATCATGAATGTGAATCACATGATTTTTTTTAAAATCATAGATTCACCTAAAAATATTATTTATGTAGTATTCCATTTACTGACATATTATACCTAAAGCTGTGATAATAAACTATTGCTATCAAATTTTATTGATAATAAATGTTTTGTTCATAAAATCAACAAATAAGTTATTAAATTAAGAAACAAAATCTCTCTTCTTTTTTTTTTTAGAACTTAAAAGTAGATAAGAATGTAACTTAAATTAAAAATTTTCATTATTAATTTCATATCATTTTCATATTTTGATGTGCTTATTGTAGTATGTAAAATATATTGATGTTTTATTATCAATAAATATATGTCAATTATACCTATCTAATTTTATGCACATTTATTTCAGTACAAGTAGTTTTAAAACTTATTAAATGGTCTACTTGAAAATAAAGAGTAAAGACTTGTTCTGGCAGGAATAATTTACTTTCTAAAATGTTTTCTGATTAAATTAATTTACTTTTTATTCTACAAGTTGATTCTCTGTCTTTGCAATTCATTAATGTTTTTTGTTCGGTTAAAAAAATAACTGACTTTTTTATTCAGTAATTAGTTTACAATAACTGAATAATAATATTCACATTTTTATTATTAGTGGTATTAAGAATTTTAGTTGCAGTATTTTTGTTGAATAATATCAAGTATCATTTATATATTTTGTTAGAATTTCGATCGTTAAACACGAAACCAATTCAAAAATTTTTGCTCGAGATAAAATAAAAATTCCAGTGTCTAATATATATTTTGTTAATCAAAACACGATTTTTATTAATGTTAAAATGCCTTAATGTTTCGTCCAGGGCTGTTAAAACCCTAAGCACGCCCCTAGTTTGAATAATTATAAAATGTATAAATATGCATAAAAATAAATAAAATACAGCTTATAGGCATCCAAACATATATGTTAGATTCATGGCTGCATCATTACAGAATAACTATCTGTGCTATGAAACATATAGGAAGAACAAATATTACATTTAATAAAGAATAGAGTAAAAACTGCTGAACTTTCTTGAAGGATTGTTAGTATGGTAAAATGAATCACCATGTATCTCTACTAAATGGAATGCCTTTTCAGTCTGATATGAGTTTCAAGGCATGATTTAGAATTCCTCATTACATTATAAAAATTCACCAAATATAAATTACTTTAAAGAATGTTGCTTTCCAAAAATATTTTGTTGATGGTATTAACATCAGTTACTGAAGTTGAATGTTTCACAACAACTCTATTCCCCATCTGGAGAAATATAACATAAAATTTTAATGTTATTTGATCTTATGGCACCATTAACAACATTCAAAGGAAAAATTATGGTTTTAAACTTTTTACTGTTAAATTGAATATTGTTTATGTAAAAAAATTAAGGAAGCATTTCTTTCTTTACTGTCATATTTTTAATGTTCCTATAAAAGTTTATTTTTACTTAAAGCAACAAATTTTTAATACCAGAGACATCATTTTGGTTGCTTCAATTCATTATTGATTTCATTTATTGGAAATACACCTTCTGATAACATTTTCTCATATCTCAAGGACATTGGTTTATACATACATAAATGCTGCTTTTAATTTATAATAGAATATTTTTTTCATAAATCAAGTTGTAGGTGTGATATAGCGACAAAACTTTTTGTGCTAAAATAATTCTTAACTATGAAAGCTAAATATTTCATTAAATGAATTGAATATTATTAAGAAATTTAAAGGGAGTACAAATAAATTTTTATCAATAGACTGTTGATTAGAAAGTGAAAGCTTTTTACTTATTGAAGGATTTCACTTTCTTCTCATTATATTATTTCTCATTCTCTTTTCGTATATGTGTATTTTAATTGCAGTGAATTTTCTTTAGGGAATCTATTGCCTTAAACGTATACGTTGCATTATGCTATTATAAACTTGATTACTATGATGTTTCCCAGGTAGGACAAATTTAATTTTTCACTTTTATTTTCCATTTTGTAAAATATTTATTACAGTTTTTTGAAAACTATTTTGTTTATTTTAATTCAAACTGATTTTTGTATTGATTTGTTGTGTAATACAAAAATGGGAAAGTTAATAAAGCTTATAATTCAGATTTTTTTAAATAGGTTTTTTTAAAAATAAGATATCCAATTCATTAATTTAATTAATCAATTTTCTATGTTTTTTATAACTTTATTATTGAACATATGTAAGAAAAAGAGAAAAATGTAACATATTTTTCAAGAAATTTTTTTGTTGTTAATATACCTTTTAAGAGGAAATTGATAGATTTTTATTTATGGATTATGTTATTTCTATTGAATATTGCTTATTCAATAGAAATAACATAATATGCCACTATTAAATAAATAATCCCAAGTAACTAAAGGAGTAAGATATTACTTAATTAAAAACATTATTTACTTCAAAAATATACAAATTGGAAATAATAGTCAACATGTTTCAAGCGCCCAAAAACAGACGTCCATTTCCAATTGAAATATAAAAATGAAAAATATGTTTGATGACAACTTTTATATTTCAAAAAACTTGTTTCTTCTCATTCATGCCTGTCTCGTCTTGAAAATAGGCATCTGTTTTTGAGAGCTTTCAAACATGTTGACTGTTATTTCCAAAGTTTTTAATTAAGTACATACAATTTGACACTGTTTTAAGGTAAGGAGAAAACAATTCCGAAGCACTCTCTTCTTCTGCATGTCTTGCTTTATTAAATGTCTGTTCTCACATATCAGGTTTGTTAGAAATATATTCATTGTTTTCTTTAAAGGTTTAGAGAAAAAGGAAAAATTATTTTGTTACAAGCACTGCAAGTGGGAAAAAACTACTTTCTTTCTTAGGCATTGCAGTGCTTAAGGGGGAAAATATACTACTTGGAAATAAAAATTATAATGTAATCTTAAATATCATCTAAATTATGGTCATCTTAAATATCTACAAAAGTTATGGCTTTATATTTTCTATTTATAGGAAGTGCTTGCTGTTTATTTACAACATTATCCTGATAGCGCTACTGCTATTAATTTAAAAGCCTGCAATCACTTTCGCCTTTATAATGGAAAAGCAGCTGAAGTAAGTTCGACTATTAATCAGTTAAGGATAATTTTATTGTTAATGAAAAAAACTTTCAATGAAATATATACTTGGTAATCAGAGAAAAAATATTCACTCAAGGTTTAAAGTATTTTTAAAAAATTATTAAAATTTTTATATTTTGTGAAAGAATAGTTTCTTTGTTAAAGAGAGCTTCTTTCAAAACAGGCTGAACTCAAAAGTCTTCAAGATATGTCATCTCCTTCTTTTACTTATGCAAAAGATTTGATTCGACATAATCTAGTAAGTAAAACAATTTTTCTTAATAAAATAATATAGAACTATTGTAGATAAATAATATAGAACTATTTATAGACTGTATAAATTTAATAATGATATTTAGTTTGATTTTTCCAATTTTGATAAAATGTGGGGAGAGAATTCTGGTAAAGGATTAAATTTATTTGTGGCATTATTTTGAATAAAGTAGGACAAAATACTTTATTTCAATTCAAATATTTTGTAAATTTAATTTAACAGTTAATGATGGTTAACTGATCTAAAGTTTTTCATTAAATTTTAACTGTGTTTTCTGTACGTTTCTGGACTAGTGAACTGTTTAAAATAATATATTATCTTGATTAACCTTACCCCTTTTTATCAACTTTCTTAGCAGTTTACTTAGCCAATGCAATTTTGGAAATCAAAAGTTAAGTTTCTCAGTTAAGAATATAATTAGAGTAATTTAAATATTTACTTAATTTGCATAGAAAGGCAAAAGCGATTATCCTTTTTATATCTTGTGCATTAGTCCCTGGTCGCAATTTAATCTTTATTTTGTATTTACCACCTGCTTTGCTGTATGGTCTCAAAGATATTATCCTTGCATGTGATTGTTTAAGTCAAGTGCTATTGTGTAATAATGTTATAAATGCTAAAATCAATATCTTGAAAGAATAATTTATTTTTTTCTTTCTATTACTAACTGTTAGTTGTTGTAAAAGAAATGTTTAAAACTGCTTATATTGAGGTAAATGATGTAATTTTATATTTATCAAAAAGAAAAATCGGAATTAAGAGAACAAATAATTCTTCATCACGATATGTCCTATTTGGATCTTGCGTCATTAAAGCACATATTCAATTTAGCTTATTCTTTTCATGATAGTTTCATGAAATTATTTTAAGTATGAACATTTTGTGTCACTATCCAAGAATTTTAAAGCGATGGCAATTCTCATTTTAAAAGTTATCCAATAACTTTATTTTTTACCTTGTATATTGCAGAATATCTAAACCAGTCTTGACCAAATCCAATTCAGTTACATACAGCCAAGTCAGTTCAGATAATTGAAAAACTTTTAAAAAATTGGTCTGACAGTGTTTCCAGGTAACTTTTTACTGTTTCCAGGCTTAGGGTATGCAGTTGTTCTTGTACATCAGCTTTTTTTTTATACAGGATAAAGTTGATGTGCCATAACCATATTGGGGTGCTGTGCTGTTTTCATTTTTGCTTTTATATCTCAATTATCTTTTTTTTTTTTTTTTTTTGTATGCTGTGCTCACAACGATTCTTTTGCATTTTGTTTGAAAGCATCTCTTAAATCCAGAAAAAGTGTTAGGAAAATAATGTGTGTTCTCTAATATGTATTTCAAAAGTAAATGAAACTTGGAACACATACTTTACCTCTAACTTTTAGAAAAGGAGGAAACTAGGAAACTTTACTTAGGAAACTACTTCAACCCTAATTAAACTCATGAAATTTTATTCTTGCATTAGCAAAACTTATGTTACCCGAGAATGCGGTCCCTCTTTCCAGGAAAATGAAAAAGAAGCTATTTTTCATGCCTTGTGAAAAATCTAAAGATTTTCATAAACTTTTTTTTTTTGAAGAAAGTGGCAGAGAGAACTAGTGGTCTTTGATTGATTGGTTTAATCAGCCAGTTTGATTTATATGCATCCTAGTTAACGTTTCTGTACTACATCAGGGCTGATTGTGCTCCGGAAAAAATCCAGATTTCCGGAATTTTCGCTAACAGTGATCCGGAAGTTTCCGGAGATCCAAGGTCCAGGTGTTTAAAAAAATCATTGATCACAGAAGTTTCTGAAAATCAAATTTTCAAAGGTGGAACTTAAAAACACAGTTTATTTTATTTGTTTGTAAGGGAAAGCCAGAGATATACTTTATAAGCTTATATCCATGATTAATATTCATTTTTTATCAGTAAATGGTTGTTATAATCAGTAACTAAAGAAAGAAAGACATATTTGTAAATTTTAATTACTTCTCCAGGTCATCATAGGTATGAGTAAAATTTTAAATATATTTTAAGTAAACTAAGAAAGATTGAAAAAAAGGACGAAAAAATACCTTTTTAAAATTTTTTTCAATTTAAACTGTCTTCTTCTTTAAACTCTGGAATTTTGACNTTTCTTTTTTTTTTTTTTTTTTTTTTAACTCAAGAAATTTTCCGGAATTTTGACTTGAGCCTACAATCACCCCTGCTACATTTATGCATTCTTTCTAAAATTTAATTATTACTAGGATTTGTGGACATAAACATTAAAGAAATTATAAACAAAATACATTTAAAATGTTATTCGTTTGTATAAATTATTTTTACACGATATAAGACTTCTTTTAACTACCCTGAAATTATGTATATATATTTTTTATATATTTCTCAAGTTGTTTTGTTATTTTTTAAAAAATAGGTTGTTTTCCGAGGAGGCGAAGGAGCTTTGCAAATATTGCCTCCCTTAGTTGATGTATTTCCTGAAGCTCGCTTGAATTTAGTGATTTATCATTTAAAACAAGGTATTTCTTTTTTCATTTTACATTCTGTTTTAAAAACTATTATTTTAACTGCTGGTTGACCAACTACCTTTCCATCTTAACAAAAAAAATTTTTTTTATTATTTGCTACCTGGAAAAATTCAGGCATTTTTAAAAGCAAGAGTTTTAATCAAATGTACCAGCATTCAGCATTTTTTTTATTAATATTTATCTTTGTATTGCTTTTATTTTTATTAATAGTTAGTGTTTGAAAATGTTTAAAAAGTTCGATATTATTTTAATTCATTAAAAAAAAATTATATTTTTGGTTTTCACTACTCAAAATATGTGGATTTAAATTAATAGTTTACATATTTAATGCAGCTGAAACAAGTCTATTTTGTACAGCTTTATTATGTTTATACTTTTATTTGATTTTATTTATTTTTGTCTCTTTTGCTGTGTGCAGTTTTATAAATTTCATGTATTTTATAAAGTTGTACTTACCCTTTTGATTTATTTTAAAGCTTATTTTTTAACATGTGACCTTGTTCGGACCATGTGCCATTAAATTAAATTCATTGATGTCGAAACATTGAATGAAAATATACGCAATTTTCGTATGCTTTTTCATATTTAATTCTGTCACTTGTGTATTATTGCCCTTTTAAATGTCCAATTTAATAGAAAGTTTTAGATGTATTTTAATGTAATTTAATTCACTAATGTAAAAATCTACTTGAATAAGACATAAATAAAAGCGTTTACTTGTTTTTTGCTTACAAAATGCATTTTACAAAATGTTTTTTTACATATTTTTCAAAATTGAATAAATGAAGTATTTATATTATTAGGTATAGTGTAAAATAATTCAAGTAACCATACTTAAAAACTGTATAAAAAATATGAAAAACTAAAAATTAACAAATAGAAATTGTCAATAAACTGTTTTCTATAAAATATTTTAAACTGTTTTAGATACCTTCATGGCATTTAATAAAATATATTTTTAGATAATGTTCAAGAAGCTTTTAATTTGATTAAAGATTTAGAACCTGCAGTTCCACACGAATATATTTTAAAAGGTGTTGTTAATGCAGCAAATGGCCAAGAACAAGGATCTGTAAGTAATGATTGGATTTTAAGAACAACTTATATTGTATTTATATTAAATGTTATTAAAAATATTTTACTTGCTTTAGAGAGAATATCTAAAAGTTGCTCAACAATACTTTCAACTCGTTGGTGGCTCAGCTAGCGAATGTGGTAAGCATGTAATAAATTTTTGACAATATATTTAAACATTCTATTTATTGTATTTTAAGCAGGTTAATGATTTCTTATTTGATGTTGGCACTTTGTGCCCCCATTTGTTTTCATTTGTCAAAAAAGGGATAATATAATTAATCGATTTTGATGATTCTTTAGACAAATTTTAAATGATCTTATAAATTTTTTTTTCTACAATTTGTTTGTTGCTGCTGCTTAACATTTTTGTTAGTGAAAATTAGCTTGTTTTAAAACAATTTAATAAATTTTTTTCAATTAAATTTCTTTTTTCAATTTCTTAGCAATTTTTATCAATTTGTTTGTTTCTTTACAATTTAACTTAATTTAGACAAAACAAAGAGATAACTTAATTTAGATGTTCGTTCAACAAAAACATATAAATAATCGGATAGCATATTGAGCAAAAAATGCTCATTCATCAAGGCTTTTGTAATCTTATAAAGTTATTGTACACAAATTATTAAAAATGCTAATGATTAAATTTTTTTTTTTGTTGAAAAAATATATAAACTTTAATTTTATATTTCTACATAATTTTAATCTTAAATGACATGCCCGTGCGTTTCTTAAGAATCTTTCATTTTTTATATATTATTACAATATACAAACACATTTTTTGTATTTGTATCTAAAAAAAAATTTTGACATATTGGCTTTATAATTAGCCATTCTAAGGAACTACATTCATTTTAGAATGAATACTCATATTTATCCAATTTCTTATTGCAATAAATTTTGTCAATATTTAAGGTAATTTACTTTTCTTTGATGAAATCCCGACTCATTGGCGAAAAATATTGTTTCTTTCTTTGAAAATTTATAACAATTTGAATAAGTTTCCTTTTCTATGTTTGAAAAAGTGCATTTTTTTTTGTTTCAGATACAATACCTGGAAGACAGTGTATGGCTTCATGTTTCTTCTTGCTGAAGCAGTTTGATGATGTTTTACTATATCTTAATTCAATCAAAGTAATATGTGTTGCTTATATAACATGGGAAGTCTAATTTGTTTCTGACCTAAAATAATAAATCTTACAAAAACAGATTTTTTTTAAAAAAAGTATGTGGAAAATTCTTATAATTTAAAATGGAAGAATGCCGATCAGGTAGCAGAGTGGTTAGCGTGCCTGACTGTGAAGTCAAAGATTGCAGGTTCAAATTCCACTCAGGGCATGGATGTTTCCCTCTGTGTGTTGTCCTCTGTTGTGTGAATGTGGCCTACCTTATGAAGGTGTATCTGTGGCTTACTCTCCTCCGTGACTAAGATTCACAGGCACACAGCGGGCAACGTTAAATGAGCAACACTTCTGGCATCTTCTGAAGCAAAGAATGAGAGTTCAGTGCCTGTTACCCTTAGAAAAAAATATGAGAACATTCGCACATTTTTATTTTTAGAATACAATTTAAGTTACTGAATTTTGTAGAGATATTACTCTATTTATTGTACATACTGACCAGAATGCTTCACTGAATATAACATTTTGGCTTTATCATTTAAATAAAAGAAAAATTAAATTTAAAAAATATTTCGATTGCATTAATATGCTCCAGTAATCATTATGACAGCTTAAAAAAGTGTTAAGAACTAAAACTTTCACTAAATTTAAATGAAACAAAAAAAAAGTTATAATAATTCAGCTGATATGATTGAAAACTGCTCAAGTTCTGACTGTTTAAAATCATTCAAAATTATTTCATTGATTATTTCTATGATAAATTTGTATTACTTGAGGCGGAATCGTTACTGACTTTTACCAATTATAGTTATAAGTTAAAACGATATAACTTTCATTGATTTAACTTATCAAACCTGGGTGTAAGAGAGATCATGGTCTCTGAATTATTGTAAAAAGTGACCCTATAAAAATCCTACTGTTGAACAAAAGTTTTCTGAAATATTTTTTTCTTGAAATGTCTATTGAAGTTATGTCTAGCCCACACCCTATTGAAAACCTTAGATGAACTGTGCTCCAACTCTATTAAATATTAAAAGGAGTTAATCTGACTTTCATGTTCATATAAGTCATTATCATCTTTTCTTAAAATTAGCTCACCATCAGCTTTATTTCTACTGCCAAACAGAGAGAAATAAAGCAGAATAGATAGGAAAAGCAACACATTTATAATACTTAAATGTCAGGGTGCGTAGCTTTTTTAAAAAGTTCTTAAAGGTGCTTATTTTCAATTTTCGTTTTTTAAAAGCCCTTAAAGGTGCTATTTTTCATTGGGTGTTTTTAAAAAGTGCTCAATTTCTCCTTTTTCAAAATGAGATTCTTTCTTTACCATGTTGATTTTTGCTATAAATTATGCAAAATGACACAGTTCACATTGTTCTACTCAACGTTTTCTCAATTAATTCAACCCCAATCTATTTCGGCGTATTGTCAGTCCATAGTGTATGATAACACCATTTGTTTTACATGATTCAAAATTTCATGATTTTTGACAATCGTCAAAAACAATGCCATAAGTTTTTTTTTGTTTTTTTTTGACGTGACCGTTAAACAAGATAAAACCGTCCATTGTCAAAAACTTTCGAACCCAGCCTAATTATGATATTTTTTTAAAGTGCTTAAAAATATTTTTTGAGTGCTAAAAGTGCTTAAAAGGTGATTATTTTTTGTTGAATAATTTGGCTACGCACCCTGAATGTTTTATTTTTATCTTAAAATCAACAAAAGCACTTTTCAAATAAGGCGCATGTGGTGCTGTATAAATCTTTTTAAAAAGTTTTCCAACATTACTTAGATTAAGTATTCTAGAAGCATAAATATAATTCCTTCTATGAATTAACGTGAAATTTTTATGTACCTAAATTTCAACTGTGTATTAATAAATATTTAAAATAATCGAAATTTCAATTGTTATTTTTTAAAACTTCACCCATTATAGAAATTAATCTTGTAAATGTGTTAGTCTATTTGTTAGTATTGTTTTTTCTCTTATGTCCTGAATTTTGTATCTTTTAGAGTTACTTTTACAATGATGATACATTTAATTTTAATTTTGCCCAAGCGAAAGCAGCTACAGGAAATTTTAAGGAGGCTGAAGAGGTAATATTAAATATTTATATGTAAAGCCTACTCTCAGTTGTTCACAATTTCAACTTGTCACTATTGCTATTAAGCTTGTTTTAAAATTAAATAATTTTCTTTAATAAAAAAAATAGTTTCAAGACAAATTTGTACCTAGACAAATTAGTCCTGAAATTTTCTGGCTACTCACTACTTTTCCATTGAATAACACGATAAAAATCAGTTTTTTTACACATGAAAGCGTGCAATAATAAATGCTCAGAGAGTTCATGGATTCATCGTTGCGCCCTCTTAAAAAAAATGAAAGATTAGCTAAAATTGCTCTTTCATGCAAATAAGCACTTTTAGTCTAATTTTCGAGTAGCTAGAATCTATGGACATGGCATTTTTGCATTCGATTATGTAACTACATATAATCTGTTTGTATAGTTGTATCAGTTAATTTAGTTTTAAAAACTGACTATAAATAATTGAGATGTATAAGGGGAAAACTTTATGTAGTTTTTATTCTGATATTTGATTTTATACATCATAATTTTATTTAATTTTTCAAAACGATAAGATTAGCAATTTCTGGCTTTTATACCAGCAACCAACAAGTACTAATACAGAATCTAAAGTTAGTAATTTTGTTTTATCATGTAAGCATGCTGATTATCTGCATAATTTTAAGTTAAATACCCTTTTTGTCAAAATTCCTTGTAGACTTATCATATACATATATCATATTAAGAAAATGATTATTTAATCTACTAATAAATTCTAAATAAATACTGCAATCCATTAAAAGCATAATAAAATGCGATATCAAATTTAATTACTTTTTCGGTTACTTCATCGCAATATTTGATTGTGTTGTCAATAGTTAAATTTTTTTTAATGCTTTAATTATTTTTTCTACAATAGCTGCCTTCACTGAATATGTTTTGAATGTTTGTCGACTCTTTCTTTTGATTTAGCATTTTTTTTCACCCAATTGCCATTTTTCATCATCTCCTTATTTTGAAAGCAAATTGTATGTTTATGTTCTATGCTTTAGAATAAACATATTGTATTACATTGTATATTTCAGAGAGCAAATTTTATTTTCAATTGAAGTTTAGATTGTTTCCAACTATCTCATCATTAATTTATCTATTTTAATTTTTGTTAGCGTCCTGATATAAATTCATTTTATAAAGTCCAGCATTTTTGGGAAAATTACTGGTTTATAATTATTATTGCGTCAAATTTAAAAAAAATTTAAACCTGTTATTAATATATGTTTAATGTATGTTTTAATTTATATAATTTTTAATAAATGTTTTATGTTTTTAATAGTATTTTTCTTTTTCATAACTTTTCATTGTAAATAAGTTAGATTCATTAAACTTTAAACTCTTCTTCTTCAGGTGTTTTTGCTCATACAGAATGAAAAAATTAAGAATGATTATACTTATTTGAGCTGGCTTGCTCGTTGCTGTAAGTTTGTAGTTGATTCTTGCATATGATAAATTTTATTTCATTGTATTCTTCTTTTATATACCTCTTCTCCTTTAGATGTCATGAATAAAAAACCTCGTCTAGCGTGGGAATTATATTCAAAGCTAGAGCATTGCAATGAGTCATTTAGCCTCCTTCAACAAATAGCAAATGACTGCTATAAGGTCAGTTTTATTTCCCTCCTTTAATAGATTTTAAAATAGGTTTATATAAGTTTTCTTAGACTGCTTAGATATGTACTTTTTTTTTTCTTTTTAGGAAGTTAAAACATTTTGTTTTTAAAAAATTTTAACTTAAAATAACTTATTGCATTCTTCATTGTTCATGCAAAAATTAATCCTAAAGTTTTTGTTGCATATTTTATTTAAAATAGTTTACAAAACTATTATGTTACTGTTTTGAATTCACTCATAACCTTTTTGTTTAAAAAAGATTCATTATACTTTAAATGTAAAAACTGAAAATGAGATCTTAACCAGTTTTCTCACATATTTTAAAATGATTTATTAAGCTAAATAATAATGTATATTATAATAATTTTATTTACATTGTGTTTTTCAATTGTTTATTCCAAAAATATACGTGTCCACTAAAATTCATCTCTTATTTGTTTCCCATGAAATATAATATAATAAATCCATGAATATAATACTTACCCATGTATAAGGAAGGAGGTATTCAGGGAAATGGAAAAATCATTACTAAATCTGAATTACGACATAAAAATCAACTCACATAAATTGCTTCTGTGAAAAATATTTATCTAACGTTGATTGCTTAGCTTGAAAAAATTTTCTTTAGTTTTATCTTAAAGCATTAAATTTTTCTTTATCTGTATTTACTTTAGTTTGAAAGAACCATAAGAGGTTTTACAATGGCTCTTCAAAAATGTTGATCTTTAAAAAAATTAAAGCAATTAAGATACTCAATTGGACATCAAACTTTAAACTTTCTTTGTAAAGGGTACAGTTTTTGACTTTGTGCAAAAATTATGTACCCTAAAAAGTTTATTTTATAATTTGCAATTGCATTTTAAAGTTAAGATCTTTTTGTTATAATCAAGCTTTCCACGTTCAGTTTTTTTTTGTCAAAGTAATTTTGTCTTGCTGTATTAAGTATCTTATTAGTATTATAGATGTAATGTGATAATCTACTATAAAATATGTTTCTCAAATTGTGGATAAGAAAAGGAAAAAAAAAATTTTTTTTAAATAAAGTAATCTTTTTTAATTTGCTTACTGGAACTTTTGAAAGCTATTTTTCTCCAAAATGCATATATAAATGAGCAATTTGGAAAATATTTATTTTAGACCCATGACTTTAGATGAATTTATTATATCCCATTAATTTTTAATGTGTTTCATTTCTGTGTGTACAGTACACAAAATAAAATCTAAAAATCGACCACCCTGAATAACTTTTGATCTTCATGTTCTAGGACTCAATCTTAATGGTTTGAGGAGAAGACTTCTAGTATGATAATTAGTGCAGACGATATTATAAGTTACGAAATCAAACACAAAAAGGCACCTTCTCTGAATAAACATACTCTTTTCGATGAATTTGGATATCTGACCCCTAAAATGTAGAAGTGTGGGAAATATGATCCAAATAGTTTCATTAAAGAGCAGTACAAAAGTTTTGACTCCTTAGTGTTAATTTTTGCCTCTTTTACCATATCTCAAACTTTTAAAGCGAATTCGAAAAATTCGTTCATAGAAAGAAAATTCCATGCAAAAAATAACTCTCAGTAAATATTNTAGTTATTATAATCATTAACTCAAGAAAGAAAGACATATTTGTAAATTTCAATTACTTCTCCAGGTCATCATAGTTATGTGTAAAATTTTTTATATATTTTAAGTAAACTAAAAAAAATATGGAGGAAAAGTAAAAAAACCTTGTTTAAATTTTTTTCTAATTTTTTGATTTAAACTTCTTTTTTTTTACTCAAGAAATTTTCCGGAATTTTGACTTGGGCTCACAATCACCCCTGAAATTGTATGGTAAACAATTTTTTTCATAATTTTACATTACGAAATTTAAGCAAAATCCATCAAACTGTTTGACCGATTTCGCACAACTTTTGTATTACGCCATCAAAAATTACATTCTTTAAAATATGAAAAATTGTATACTTAGCAAATCAAAGAATTTTTTACTATTATTAAATGGAGTAATAAAAATAATACAAATTTACTAAAAGTTATGTTTTTTAACTCAAAGTTATTAACTTTGGATGAATGTGTGCAAAAAAATTTTAATTTCCTTAAAATGTTCTTGAGATAGTGTTTTAAGCAAAAAGTAAAATTAATATTAATGGGTCTAAACTTTGGACTCTCCTTTAACAAAACTATTGGGACCACATTTTCTAGATTGCCGTTATACCCCATATTTTGGAGGTCAGAAATAAATATGTTAATTGGGGGGACATTAGTTTTTGTGTATGTTTTCGCAACCTAAAATATAGTCTGCTCTAATTAATTAACATATTTGAGATCACCCCCTCTAATCATTGAGTGCTAGAAGATTTGCTCATTAGATCAAAAGTTATTCAGAGTGGTCTGTTTTTTTTAATTTTATGAACTGTAAAAATTTTGTATTTACTTCTAGATGGGTCAGTTCTTCTATGCTGCCAAAGCATTTGACATACTTGAAAGATCAGATCCAAACCCTGAGTTCTGGGAGGGTAAAAGAGGTGCTTGTGTAGGAGTCATTCAGATGATCATAGCCGGGCATGAACCCAGGTAGTTTTTTAGTTTACAAGTTACATAATAACCCATCAATGATTCTGTATTTTGTACAATTGACATTTTCTATTTTTTGTTTTAGTGAATCCCTGCAAGAAATTTTTCAAATTTTGAGAACATCAACAAATCCTCAGGCAGAAAAAATTTTAAGAGTAGCTAAAACTTGGGCAAAAGAGAGCAAACTGCCCATATAATAGATCAAATCACCTTCTAATCACATAAATTTATTTTCATACAAAATGTGCAATAGAACATTCTAGTCATAGTAGTGCCTTTACAGTTACTTAAGTTTATTTTGCATATCAAATGTCTCACTCTTACATTATTATAGAAATGAAATTTCATAATAAAATATCATAAAACATGTTGCTGGCTCTTATAATTTTTCTCATTTTTAATAGAACAAACAACAGTAAACCGTTTTAGTTTCATAGGAATGATCTCAAAAAATTTATATTATGTATTAATCAATTTTTCAACTTTTTTTTTTAAGTTACTAGCAATTCTCTTTCAAATATTGAAGAGAAAGTAAACTTTATCTTAGAAATGAAGTTAAAAATGACAAACATTTGTTCATTTTTTATATAAATGCATATCCTATAATAAGTAAAAATTACTTACTCAGTTATACCTTTTATTAAACACCATTTTACCTGTATTTCGTTTTTAAATGTACACTGCAATTTTATTGATGGTTAATCAATTTTTATATGTAGGTTTCCCTCATCAAGTGACTTTTTTTTAATTTTGTAAAAAAAAATTTGGTACTTATTTTATTTTGATTGGTCTAGATTGGTAATATTTCAGATAGAAATTTCCAAAACTGCAGTAATGATGTGAACTCAATAAAATAAACAAGTGCCATGCTAAATAATCCCAAGAAACTGGAGCAGTAAAATATTAGCTTATTTAAAACTTTATTCACTTCAAAAACATACAAATGGGAAATAACAGTCACTATATTTCAAGCACTCAGAAATTGGCAAGTCTTGAAAATGGGCTCCTGACATGAATGGCTGGTCTTGAAATTGGACGCCTTTTTTAAGCGCTTGAACCATGTTGACTGTCATTTCTATTTGTTTATTTTTTAAACGAATGAGGTTTTTAAACAAGTAATATGTGCCATGATGTATTTGGATTTTTTTACATGTTTTCTTCAGATTTTTAGACTGGTTTTGTTCTAATATGGGTTTCCTGTTCTAGCTGAAATCAATTATACACATTTGCTTCAATAGTAATGCCTTCACAGTTTCCCCCCCCCCTTACTTTTTTGCACTCTATGATGTTTCAACATAATTTGTATTACTGCAATGGTGAACTTTCTGTTGTTTAATGGCTTAGATAATAGAAATATGTGCATTTTAAATAACTATTCATTGAAAGGAACAAATTTTATTTTCTTATTTACAAAGTTCTTAAAATGATCAAAGATAAACTAATTATTCACTATGTAAGTCTGTCATTTCGTTTTACATATATGACATATTTTTTTGAGATCACAATCTGTAGCCTTTGAATTATATTCATCATAAAAGGTTTCTAGAGAACATAATTTATTCACTTCACATCCAGCAATTGCGATTGGTTTTTCATTATGCATAGTTAAAAATTTTAATTTACCTTTACAGTCATATAGAACAAAGGCTAAGTTAGTGTTGAACGGCACAACGTTACTTGTTCGCCATTTCCTGTTGTTAAGTGCACAGAAATCTTCAGCCGTTAGTTTTCGCTCATCTTTAAACATTCCTAAAGCTGCAAAAATTCTTGTCAATGCACCAGCATGAGAGAAGTGTAGAGCAACTTTATTCTTTTTTGTTTTCTCGTAAGATCTTAAATGAAAGATTAAATCATTAGTATAAATTTTGTCAAGTTTCTTATATATCTACATTCTAGAAACTATGGAACTCCATAGTTATCCTGTACATAGATAACTAGGAAGTTTTCATACAGTCAAGACGATTTTTTTTTCTAGTTAACAGCAGTATTTGTCGATGAACTTTGTAAGCAAATACCACTGCTCACTAGAAAATTTAAAAAAAATTGAACATGCATCTGTTTAATTCGTTTTCAGGCTGTGCCACGTTGCTACTAGAAATGGTAATTGTTTCAAAACATTGTTTTATAGTTTTTCCCTATTAGCGTTGTCAAACTTTGTAACTTAATTTTGAAACTTGATGAGGATAATCTAATTTCTTAATTAGAACACAGTAAACCATACATTTCTAACTCCTCCTGTTTTTTTTTTTTTTTTTATCTTTAATTGAATTTTCAAATCAGTTATTTTAAGAACACTGAATATTTACTAGAAATATTTTAATGCTACTTTTATTTGCAAGTATCTAAATGTTTTTTACCCCTCATCTTTTCTGTGTTTAAATAAATAACAAAAAACAGTTTTTTGTTTGATGGAAGAATTTAGACCCTATCTTAAATTTAAATTAAATTCAGAGGTTAAGAACATGTTTTTTTTTCCTTAGATGTAAACAAGTGAGTTTCTTTTAAATGCAATATTAACCCCGTCATCTTGCTTTTAGCCAAGGTACCTAAACGTTTACTCAGTGACAGATTTTTTTTGCCTAATTTTAGTGTTGTAGGTAAAATAAGGCTCTTGGATCAAAAATTTACATTACTACCTCTAAATGCCAAATGTGTTATTTAACATACTGAGTCTTTGCTATGTCTAAAACATCCATTCACCTGTTGTTTTTTCTATCAGAAAATTAATTTTCCCTCTTAATATTCAATGAGAATGTTGCCTCAATGATCAGAAATTTTTATGCTAACTTGCCCGAATCCAAAAAAAACTTAGTATTATGTAAAATTAGTTCTTGTTCTTGATACTCATGTGGAATATGCTAAAATTGTTTAAAAAAAATTTTGATGGCTATTTATTTTTGTTATATTTTAACTGTTCACAATTTTTTTTATGAGAATTCATATCATTAGGGAACTTTTTTTTTCTTCTTACATGAGATTTTTTAACAGATCTTTGATACTTTTTTATCTCTGATTTCAAATCTGAAATCTGTTTCTCTCCTTCTAAGCCATGACATTTTCAGTTTTTTTTTTTTTTTTTTCAGATGTACAATTTTAAAAATGTTATGTATAACAGAGGATTGCATAAGTGTTGTGACATACTTCTAGGGGATTTAGAACATCAGGATTAAATTTGCTTATGAATCTATGCCCAGAAATGTTCTCATATGCCAATAAGCCACCTATTATAGACTGTTTCTTCACATGCTCCTGAATAAGTTATATTAGAAAAACATACCTAGTCGCATATGGCAGCATTTCGGAGCATGGGTTCCTATGCAAATTAAAATCTGATCATGTGCTCTAACTCCTAGAAGTAAGTTTCAACATTTACACTACCTTTTACATTACATTTATATACTGATAACATTTTTAAGCTTGTATATTTCGACAAAAAATGTCATTTTTTTAAAAATCTGTAGCTTTAAGAGCAAAACTAATTTCAGATTTGAAATCTCTATACCTGAATTAGGCAAGATCTAGTATTTGTATAAATGAAACTAAAAATTTATTCCGCAATGTAATTTTTGATTTTATAATTCATAAACCTAACTTGGAAAGAACAATGGAGTATACTCAGACATGATGACTATCAAATAGTATCTGTTGACCCCAAAACCCAAGGTTTAATTAATAGACTAGTTATTGCTCATTCTTTTTATTTTCTTAAACATTTATTCAGAACATATTCTGCACCTAGTTGTTCTCTATGTCGATTCTTCATTATTATTAAACGTTCTACCCAACTGTAAACAATACCAACATTTCAGGAACAAACTCTTTAACAGCTTTTATCCTAACCTTAAATCCATGCTTGCCTATGCATCACAATCTTATTTATTAGGTTTATCAAAACAATAAGACTGTATTCATTACTGTAAAAAAAATAAGTGCAACGTTTTTACCTAGTAGTTGGCACAGTATTGAAAATTAATATTTTCAAAAAGAAAACATACCTGAATAAGTCAATTATATATTTTATTAATGGACAGGCTTGCTCGTAATTCACATCATTCCCATAGGATCTTTTGTAATAGTCTTCAATATCATCAGCGTATTCCATGACTTTTATGTCGTCATTCGAAAACAAAGAACACCAAGCATCACTGATGTTCAAAGCATGCCCAAATGTACAAGCCACATACATATGTGTGATGTCCTCTAACAAAAAAAAATATATTGTTAGAAAAAATGTGTCACCATCTAATGTATCTACTTTTAGGACACTGAAACTATTCATACTAAACAGAAGTTTATTACAAACATAACTCATACAATGATTCTCTTAACTTTTGCACAGCAAAATAGAGTAATTTTATATAAACTTTATGTTCTTAGTTCTTTTAAAAAAAAAATTTTTTTTTCAATATTTGCCCTTCCTGAAATTCTTTAGTAACCTTATTTTGTATTATTTAAGAAATATTTTAAAATTTATTTTTTTCCCTGTGAAATAAATGTTTTTATTTTGTTATTTTTTATTAAATATAATAAAATAATTATAATTGAAGATAATGCCTAATATAAAATACTGTTACTTATTTATTAGAAAGGTAAACTAAAAAAATACTTCAAAGGAAATATGAATAAAAAATTGAAATTAAATAGAAATTTAATATTTACTGTCTGTTGTAGTAAAACACAATTTGATCAAAAACAATTAGAGACTTATTTACTTTAAAAAATTGTGTCCATCATGGACCCCACTTCGCTATTTGTAACTGGTAAACTTTGCCTTGCGAGGGATAAGAGGTAAAACCTTATTATCTTGTCTGGAAAATGCTAGAAAGTAATTGAATATTGATTGGTAGTAAACTTGAAAATTAAAATTTTCAGTTAGTAGCCATTGGCCAGTAGGTTAAAATTAATTACTTAGTATCTATTTTTTCCTCAAACCTAATGAGTTGGTGACTGATATTAATAGGTTCTTTTCAACTAATAGCCACTTCTTACAAATTTTTTTTTTGTTGGACAAAATTATACATTTAAAAAAGAAAAAACGATGAAAAAAGTAGTTGTTTATGCCAATTTTTTTTTTTTTGTTGTTGACTCATCATGTTGCAAGTGTTTATTTTTAGGTCTAAATGTTGTGATCAATAATTATCCAATAATAAAATACTAAGTGGTAATGTTAATAATTTCGGAATTCTCCTTCAAAATGTTAGCTATTAAAATATAATTTAAATGAAATTTAAATTACTCCATGAGCTTCGTCAATTGATGAAACAAAACACAACTATGATATTAGTGAGCATAATTTATTTTAGTTTAATATGTTCTAATTATATTTAGAAACCACAAATGTCTACCAATAATAAGTTCAAACATTTGTTAAGCTTGAAAAACAAGTTTTAAAAATTATCTTCCACGATATTACCAGTTATTGTAGTATAATTTTTTTTTTCTACAAAAAAAATGTTCTGTTTTCGTCACCTATATCGCCGCCACTGATAAAAGTAGAAGGAAAAAAATATCAATAGAATATTTAGTACACAATACCACTTGAGACACTGAAACCAATCCTCTTTGAAATGCTGTCGAGGGCTTTTTGCATCAAGGTGCCATTCACATATTCTTCTACTTCTTTTACGTCAAATTGGGGATTATCGCATTTTTTCTAAAAGTTTTAAAAAAAAACATATACCATATGCAATATGTCTTAAAATATCTATATATATTCAGTATTCTTGCACACAAAAAAATTCACATTAGAGGTTGCAAAAATTAACTAAAAAAGGACAAAATCAGTTCATTAGAAGCGTAAAAAAAATCACTAGTTTACTTGTGAAAAGTGAAACCATTCCAGTCTCATTCGACTAATGAACTGATTTAAATTATTTTAATCGCTCATTTGCTCTTTCAAATTTCAATCTTAGGTAAGAGTTTGAAAACATTTTCTTTAGTTTCTCTGTTAAGTAATAATTTACAATGTGCATAGTTACATTACCTCAATTTTTACAAGGATTTTAAAAATATAATTTATAGGTCAGAGCCGTCCCTAGCATTATAGCGGCCATCCGCAACACCTCCTAGAAAAGAGTAGGCCTCTGCACGGGTTACCATAAATATCCTTTAGTAGTCCGAACGTAATGACTTATTTCGTATTTTCAACCACTGCGCTGCTTAGTACCCCGAACGTAATGACATCTTTCTTATTTTTCACCAACTGCGCCGTTAACTTCATCACATCGGACTACTAATTTGATCCTGGCTGAGGCCTTCCTCATTCTAGGAGGTGTTGCCCTGCGTAAGCCAAAAATCTATTAGTTGCATTTTCAAACTTTTTTTTTCTGCTACTCTACCCCTCATATTTTGATGTTCAAAATCCAAATCCATCGGGAAAAAAGTATCTTTACGAAGAGAAAATACATTTTCCTGTCTGATTTCTTTAAATTAATAATTAATTAGCATTGTTTCATTTTAACTCTTTGAACCATTAAGATTGAACTTGAACCACTACTTATTCAAAGCATATCCCCCTCACCGCTCATAATATCATCAATAAAAATTTCAAAGCATATCAATAAAATGAAGTCATATTTCCCTTACCATAATTTTTTTACAGTCTTTATGAAATTGAAGAAGAGTGTCATTTGCTTTTCCATTGAAATTTATTTTTTCGTCTGTAAAGAAAAGAACTTAATATTAATTTCAATATTCATGGAAATTTATAATGTTTCACAAACACTAGTCTAGTAAATTTCAAAAAAGTGAAGTTTTTAAAAAATAAAATACAATTTTTACTATCATACCTCTATAAATTTGTAACGAATGTCTAAATTTTTCGTAATTTTTTATTTTATTTGGAGAATGATGTCTTGGTTCTCAAATTTAGTCTAGCATTATATATGAATTTTACCTTATTCAGTTTTAGAAAATATTAACATAATGCGTAAGAATTAAAATTGAAGCAAAAACTCATTTTAAGATCATTTATGAATCAACATAAAAGTGAAAAACTCGTAATTAACTCTCTATGATACATCATCATCATTGGAGCAACAGCTCAGAGGGGGCCCTGGCATTCTCTTCCATTCTGATCTGTTCTCAGCAACGGTTCTCCAGTTCTTACAGTCCAATACAAGAAACTACTTATTTACAAAATCTCTGTTTGGATCGTCCCCTTTTGTCGATTCCCAAATAGCTTGGCCATAAACATTCATTTAGATCTACATTCATCCATAGACCGCATATTAGATGACCAACCCTTTTATCCTTTGAATTTTTATATAATTGGTAATGTTATATTCATTATAAAGTTCATGGAGGAATCTCCTCCATTCGCGAATCGCAATTCTCGAATACACCATCTGGGGAGAAGACAACTTCCATGTTTGACCCTTCTCAGTTGTATAGGAATGTACTACGATATTTTCCCTTTTCTTAATATTTTCGCTCTTAACTGTCGCAAATATTTTTTTTTTTAATTTCCACGACACTTTCTGTTCAATGTAGTTTTCAGTTCCATAGTTTCCTAACTTAAAAGTTTTTAATCTGTTTGAAAATCAAAAGAGAAATCGACGTACTTCCTTCTCCTATAATTCCCTACACTCTAATGACGAAAGCATACGAAGTCTTGCCATTGGTAGAGGTCTTCTGCTCTGTGCCAACTATAGCCTATTTCGATTCCCAATAGTCCGTTAATCCGGAACCACCGAAAATACTTCGGAGGATTTTTCTTTCCAGTGAACCTAATGCACATTTGTCTTTTGAGGTCATAGCCCACAATTCCCAGGCATATTTAAGTACAGATCTTATAAATATTTTAAATAATAGAATCTTCGTACTAAATCTAAAGACACTAGACCTCAGGAGAGAAAAAAACAGCGGTTGGCGGCAATTATCCTTGGATCTCTGACCCTACCTCATTTTTAGTGTTAGCCTCTGATCCCAGGTATATGATCCAGGTATTCCACTTTATTAACTCACTATGATTAGTGGTTCAAATAAATGTTATGATAATGCAAGAAGTATTTTTCTCCTTAAAGTCAAATAAATATTTAAGACAGGACTGTTTTTAGTTGAAATAAAATGGGAAATATCGGCATTTTTCAAATCCATAACTTAAATCCACTTACAATCTTTTTCTGTGATTAATCCTCGTGTAAAGTTTTCTGCTGTGTCTTGTGTCCTGGATCTAGTTGTATATGCAATTTCAAAAACTTCTGGGGAATAATTCATACCTAAAATTTGAGGAAACCTTTTTCTCAACCTTTCACCTGAAACACAGTATTAGAAAAGTAAAAGAATAGTTTTCACTGCAGAGATTTAATATTTAAAAATGCTAGGTTAAATATACATGTTTGGATGTGGAATATATATAAAATTGTCGCAGCAATAAATATCGGCAACCCAATGCATTTCTTACATTGTGCACATGAACCCAAACATNTCTTTTTAAAGTTAGGAGTACCTTTCTTTTTTCTCTTACTTTATGCATTACACTTTTTCCTTGTACTTCGGGTTCGATAAAACATCGATATCGAACTACACTTTTTGGTCAATCCAGAAAACCGGGAAATTCAGATATCCGGGATAGCGATGGTCCCGAGCATCCCGGATAATTGGTTCTCTACTGTAATATAATATAGTTACCAAGTTCTTCCGCCTCAGCTGCACCTGTTGCTGAAAGCTGATTTTGATCTCCTTTTGTCATTGTTGGTGACCAAGCTCTTAGTTTGTTGACGTCATCTTCACACAATTTTGCTAAAATAAACAAAGATTCTACTAAATTCAAAATCATTTAGAAGTTTGTGGGGTATTGGATTTTATGCGAAGCATACGGATATGATGAGCCTAAATATAAACAAAGAATACTTAACAGTAGACAATAGTAAAACATGTTCTAAAATTCCAATTAACTAATTTAATATTTTTTATCGCAAAAAATTTTGCGATGAACTTTGAGCATATTTTTTAAACTGAAAATTAAGCATTCTTTGCAAATTTTTAAAGCAAAACTGGCACTTGTAACTCCGAACAATCAATCAAACCAAATAACCAATTGTAAAATTGAATGAAAATTTTTTCTAAGAATCAATTAACATTTATAGCTATAAAAGAACATTTAAGTAATACTGGCGACACATGTTAACGGTATATTTTTCCTTTACTTCGACATGAGATCATTTTTAATTGCACCATCTCTAGTTTTATCTGAAATCAAAATAAAGTGTGAGGGATTCTAAATTTTTAAGGCGAAACTCTCACTTGTAACTCCAAACAATCAATTGCAAAATTTTCTGTAAGAATCAATTAATATTTATAGCTATATAAGAACATTTAACTAATACTGTCATTAGTTAAATGTAGTAAATTGCGGTATATTTTTCCTTCAGTTTGGCATGAGATCATTTTTAATTGCACAATATCTAGTTTCATCTGAAATTAAAATAAAAAGTGAGGGATTTTAGTAGAATATCCTATAATGATCTAAATATTGCCACCGAATAGTTGACCTTCAAAAAGATTAGGAAAGAAAAAAAAGTCATTAAAACATCTACATTGTCAAAACTCATCTGCCTAATAAACGATTACTTAAAAAAGATTTTAAAAATTGTATAAATTTTTCTAACATTAAATCACTATCACTTCAATTTACGAAATATGCAAACCAATAGACTTCATGACTTTCATTTATTTATAATTGGCTGCTGACAAGTTCTTTTAACAAAAAGAAAGGAAATAATGATGGAAATTTATCTAGATGTAGGGAAATAAAATAGTAATTAAAGTTGTCGGGTCTTTTTTAAATTACATAATCGGAAATACATATGCTGTATTCAATTTTTTTTAAAAACTGATTTTGAAATTGATTTCAGACATGCCACTATGTGAGAAAATATAAACCCATTCTTTTAAAGCAGGATTCTCCAAACTTTTTTGTTCATACGAGTATCAAAAATTTGTACAATTCTCTTTTCGACCCCCCTCATCCCACTCTTAAAAAAAACTTGCGGATTTTCTACAGGATTTATTCTATTTTAGCTAGACAAATTTTTCGCATAAATTAATGAGAAAGATGTGCTTTATGACTGCCTTCTAGATAAGCAATGATTATTTCGAAATTTGTTAGTTTCAGTATTAAATTGCTCAGCATTCAATATATTTCTCTGCTTTGTTACAATAGAATCAAAATGAAGCCATATTCAACTATATATGAGCTTGAGTATGTTATTTAAAAAGAGAAAATGCCACCCTAAAAAATTTTGGATATTTTTGCGTGGTCATTAAATTTGTCCAAAATTTACTCATAGTAAAATTATGAAAAGCATCTTTGCTTCAAGGTCTACTACTAATTCAATGAATTAGTTCATTTTGGAAATGACTGTAGATATTCTCAGTAGCGAAAGAGGAGCGATAATCCATTATGCGATATCCATATTTTCAATATTTCAAAAGCGTAGTTTCCAATCATTGCTGAATTTTCAAAATCTTTGTGATTGAATAGCATCGACCTCCTAGACCAGGGATGGGCAAACTTTTTTGGTCGTGGGCAAAAAATCTAGAAAAAAAAGTTTGGTGGGCCTAGTAAAAATTTCTAAAATAAAATAAAGTCAATTTATCACTGAACGCATGGCACTCTACATAAACTTTGCGTTTTTTAGTTGACATTTTGGGGTTAAAAAATTTTACAAATAACTCAAAAAAGCAGTAGCTATTTTATACATTTAATAATTTCACCATTATTTACAATGACGTTGTATGTGTGCTATTTTTCCATACGCAGTAAATAATGTTAGAACTCGCGCCGGCAGAAAAATCCGCTCATTGGAACTTGTAAAATAGACAAGTGAAGTATTTCACCTGTCTTAGATTCCATATGTCTGCTCCTCGGGAAAGACAAACACTAGTTGGAGCTAATCTACGGCTATTCTATGAAAAACTTCTGCTTTCAACATTTTACCAATTGAAGCTGTCTATGTTAACTATTTCCATCAATTTATGTTTTGTTGAACAAAAATAGAGAAAGTGAAAAGGTCATCAGTACTTTGTTAAAAAAAAAAAGAAAGAACAAAAATAGCTTTAAACAAAGTAGACAAGAAAATGGAGGTATAATGCATATTGTTTATATTCGCCACGGATCGGTAAGTTAAAATTCTGTCCGCGGGCCGGATAAAACCTTCCGGCGAGCCACAGTTGGCCCGCGGGCCGTAGTTTGCCCATCCCTGTCCTAGACCGAATAGTCCTCTAATTATGCTGTATCGACCCCTAGGGGCACTTCGGTGACCCCTGATTTAAAGTAATAAAAACTTATATCCCGTAAACAGTATTTCTATTTTAGTACGTTATGTAATGTTACCTTCTTATAATAATACCATAAATGTAATATTACCTTCTCCTTTTTCATACGCTGCTATGATCTTTTCTTTCAAACTTGGTAAATGTTCATTTATGTACAAGATGTATTCTTTATCAGGATATCTAGTTGCATGTCTGCTTAACAGGTAGAATACTTTTGGAACACAACCTACAATAAATACATATAACTATTTTTAAAATTGTAACGTTTTTGCTGAGTTAGAGATCTTTTTATTGGTTTAGAGATCTTTTTATTGGTATTGGTAATTACAACATAATTTTTCTAATAATTAACAGTTGTTCTTGCTGACATTCTTAAATCTCTATTTTTCTAAACACAAGATTGCTTAAATGCAATGCAAATTAGAATTGACAAAAATCCTTTTTATTAGTAAAAAGCCCTTGGTAAACTATAATAAGTAACTTGAAAAAATAATATTTTTTGCCAGCTTTCCTAGTCACATTAGCCTCCAAAAGTTAAGATATGACTTGTTGCTTGTATCGAATTTGAAAAGGAACAGTAAAACAAAAGATTTCGAGGATCCTGTACAAAAAGAAAGTTTTAATTTTGAGGAAATCTTCTCTGCTGAAGTAAGATATATTGGCTTAGTTATAATAACTTTTAAAACAGTCAAACCGATTGGATAAAGCTGAGGCAAATTATTTTGTTGTAAAAATGTTACAATTTATTTAGTTGTTTTGTCGATTGGTGAATCTCGACTGAAAATTTTGAGTTCTTACGAAAAATCCTCCCACCAACTTAGTTATACTTTGCGAGGTTTTGAGCACAACAATTTACTGGAAGAAAATGGGTTTCTTAGGATTGCCTTAGATTTTCTCCGATTTGTTGAATGTGTTTTGTTATTTATGCTTTCCAATTTTTTTAAGAATGAACAACTTTAACCATTTAGTTCTATTATAATTATTTTTAATTTTATTTTCAAATTTTTTAGAAGTTCCAAAGCCAAAAATAAATTTTTTTTAAAAATATCGTAGTTTTTTTTAAAAATTATTCTAAAAGCTCTTCCTCTCTGACGTCGGACCTAGACAAATGCCTTCATCCTCATAATTTTTAGCTCTTCGTTTTCTAGTGCGGGCCCCTTACATTATTACAAAGCTGCTCATCTTCAGAGACCACTCTTTAACTAACGTCCAAATGAATAGAAAAGATCACTTAAGAAGTTACTGCTTTTATTTCTGAATACTAAAATATATTACCTAAAACTACTATTTCACATTTTCTATTTATTCAATTTTTCTGAACCTACAGAGGTGTGGTGCCTAGAAACTTCACAAGCATATTTTACTCATAAATTATAGAAAACATATTTAAATCTAAAATATTTTTTTCTGAAACAGTACTTTCATGAAGAAAAAAATATATCAAATAATTATTGAATTATTGACAGCCTCAGCATCAAGCCAGCCCTGATCCTGCAAGAGTTCTAAAAATTATGCTAACTTCAAATGGCTGTTCGATACGATTTCCGCACTTCGCTCGCATCGACCACAGTGCTGACGTAAAATACCCTACGGTGGTAGACGGATCATGGGTCCCCTTGTCGTGAGGTCAACCGTAGGAGGTCGTGTTTTTCCTCTGCATGTAACGCAAATGCGGGTTAGTTCCTACAAAAAGTCCTCCACGGAAACAAATTTCTCCCATTACTTGATCCAAGAGTTCTATTGTCTTCTGGATTAGGTTCAAAATTACAAGGCTACGAAATTGAATATTGGTAGTCGTAAATTGAAGATTGGGTCGGCTATTCAACGACTCTTATAATATATCAACGGTCGGCAGAACGAGTTCGATTAAAAATGTAGGCGGCATTTTCGGAACTGTTTTGGAGTTGACAGATTCTTGCTGTGTTTCCTGGAGGGTTATGGTGAATCTGTTGCGGGAAAAGATAAGGCAAAGTTTGGTTTTAAAATGTGAACTACCCGTTAAGGGATGAAAGAATGAAGAAGTTAAAATTATATCTAATGACTAAAGAATTATCTAACTTAATTAGCTCTGATGTTATCGTAGATATCGAACGATCGCAGGGACGGATGTCTTTCCTTTCGAATTGAATCTTTTTTTTATTATATTATATTATATATTATATATTTTTTGTTTACTTATTTATTATTTATGGATTATTTTTAACGATGTATCGTTTAAGCAAAAACAATTAAACTTAGACGTTATTACTTAAAATGTGGGAGCGAAAATTTATCATCATCACTACATTTTTACATTTGAAAGGTTTAATTTTATATTTATTTCTTTTAATTACTTTTATTTAAGGCTAATTAATGCGAAACAATTATTTAAAATGTCACCGTGAAAAATTATTGCAATCCTTAGTTATTAAAAAAATATTTAGGCTGCTGGTAATTTAATTTCTTGCAACTTGCAAATTTAAAATGAGTAAAATGTACTTATTAAATTATTTTATGACAAATTTTTTTTAATAATTTTATTCAGTTTAGCTATAACTGTTAACAGTAGAATGATTTTTTACCACGTTTATATAAACTTGCCTTCGTGTATGTCTGTCCGGGTGGAATTTTGTAATCGATTTTAAACTAACTTCCCGACTAGCTACAAACTTCAAATTTAGCACACAGTTCAGAATTGGATGACAATGCATGAAAATGAAGAGAAAAAAGACATGCAAAGTAAAATAAAATTAAAATTTAAAAAAAAAATTATTTTCGAGATTGTCTTTTGTTGTCGATTCCATTATTTCAAATTATTACGTGTCAGGTGAAAAGATTTTTGTTGTCGGAGTATTTTTATTGGCTGAAAAATCACGTGGTAGGATCCAGTTTTTCCTCATTCATTTCCAGATTGTTTTGGTTGTCATCAGCATAAAACTAATGAAAGTCGTAAAGGTATTGTTTTTCTATAAAGATTTTTGTATCCCTAATTTAAAATGAAAGTTCTATTATTTTAGTAGTGGTCTTGTAGTAGTCTTGACTACTCTTGACTAAGAAAAATAATCTAAATAAAAATATATATTTTTAAAAACCACGTTTTTTGTAGTGAAGAATAATAATTAAAAAATAATAATTTTTTAAAAATATAAAATAAAAATTAAAAAAATCATAGTTTAAAATAAAAAAATTCAAAATAAAAAGTAATATTTTTAAAAACCACGTTTTAGTAGTGGAGAATAATAATTAAGAAAAAAATTGAAAAACGAAAAACGTGGGGCGCATGAAATACATAACAGTACACATACACATACATATACACATTTTCTTACTCATACACATGCACAGACACATATACATCCACATACATATGCATATACACAAACATATTCCACATCCACATTCAGATACAATTTCAGATATACATACACATATTCTCATGAGCACACATACACACACTAATATAACATTACTGTTATGTATTTCATGCGCCCCACGTTTCTCGTTTTTCAAAAAAATTTTTATTTATTATTCTCCACTACAAAAACGTGGTTTTTAAAAACATCATTTTTTATTTTGAATTTTTTCTATTTTTTTTTTACGTTTAACTTAGTTTAATTTTTGAATCAAGTTTAAATTTATTACTTTGTAAATTTTCGTTTTTTATACACTTTGACTTTTTCTACAAAAAGAAAAAAATTAATCGCAGTAAAATTTCAAATTAGTGCTTTGGAGTCAACCAATTTTTTTTTCTTTTTCTTTTTTGTTTTTTTTTATTGAGAGATTTGTAGCGTTCTCCCTATGATTCTTTTCTTTTCAAAGAACTTCAAAAATGATTTTCTGTGTCAAAAGAAGAAATTCCCATTTCTTCTTTTGTCAGAAAGATATAAAAGCTGGTTAGTTGAATACGTGTAAGAGAAAATGAGAAAGCGACGCTATACTATGTTGCAAGTCAAGAAAAAACCATTAGCCATATGAAAAGAGCCAGTTTACATCTAAGTGCTCGCCAAATGAATGCCAAGCTAAGCTTCCAAAGCGAACGTATATCAATATCGCCAACTCTTGAAACAGTCTCCTCTTAGCTTACTTTCTTATTAATAATAATAATAGTTATTAACAACAATAATCATTTAACAACCAATAAAAATGATATCTAAAAATCGTAACAAATATGACTTTCTGTCCGCGTTTAAAGAAACTGATGAAAGAAAAATAAATATAGCTTCGTGCAAACGATTTTCTACTACAGCGAAGCAAAAGTTATAAGTTCTTTATCTCGCATTTGATTTGTTAAGAGCATATCAGCATGGGAGGTGCCATTCAAACAAGTAAAATTAATAATAACTAGATAAGTAAAATTTAAAGGTAAAATATATGAATGATTAAAATAAAAAAATATGGCAAAGAAATATTTGAAAAAATTTAAATGATAAATAAAACAGTTGTAGAAATTACAGATGTTAAAAACACATAAATTACACCCTGTTACAAAAGCGTCAAGCGATAGTTGACAAGTCCAGTTGTTTGAGTTTGCCATAATGTGTATAAAAACTTTTGAGGCCAAATTTTCATACTATTCTCCAATTTTCACAGAACCCCATATAACGGCCTTGCACTTAGGGTAATTTTCAAGAAAACTACCTAAATAGTGCTGAGTTTTACATGCTTAATCATAATCATTTTATTGTATTTACATTTAACCAAAAATGTATACAGGCGCAAGGCAAAGAGTCGTTGTCCCTATAATTTTGACAGGTTCGAGAAGAAAAAAAAATCATTGATCATGCGATTCATGATGATTGTATGTCGTGGTTCAGCCTAATAAAGTAATCAGATCAGCTCATAAATAATTCTCAGTGGTCACCATCCAGACTTCTATAAATCAATTCTTTCAGTTTCCTTGAATACATATTCGAAAAACAAATATTTCCAATTTCGTCAAATACGTAATCAAATGACGTTTTTCAAGCCTACTTGAAAAACTATCTGATACCCTTACTAGAGAGAGAGATAAAAAAAATAAAAAAATACAAAATAAAAATTAAAATATAACAACTCGAAACCTATTACGAATTCGAGTTATCTTTGAAGTGACGTCGTTGCTCAAAATCGGCAGGATTGAGAATGGATAAATAAAACGTTGTAATGTTGAAATATAAAATAAACTAACGTGATATAATAGTTGTTTTTTATAATACTTTCTTGTTAGCTTTAAGAATATTACACATGGCACCTCAAAAACCATTCATAAATTATCAATTATATTGAAATTAAATAATCGTAAAATAATAAAAATATTTTTATATTATGGAAAAACGAATCCTATTTTATATGCATGAAAATTACGATCATTGCTTTCAAAATTCATTTATTTCAGAAATTTGGAAAAATATTACATACCACTTGGATTATTTATTTTTTTAATTGTTACTAAAGTTCATCATATTTATATATTCTGTGTAGTCTGTAAAAATAAGTAAATAAAAGAAGTGAGGAGAATTTTAGATATTTTAAGCTTTAAGCTGAGGGAGATATTTTAAGCTTTTGCTTCTCCCTCAAATAGAAATGGTTTTGTTTTTAATGGCTACCGGGGCCGGTACCCCCTGAAGACGTCGGCTTCGGTGGTCATATTTTTATTTTATTTCATTTGTTTTGTATTAAATAAAAGAAGATAATAAAGATAGAAATCTTAATGCTTCTAATGGCTAATATGCTTGTTAATTAGCGCAAAAGATAGTCTAGGTAATTAAGTCGGAAAAACTTTTTTTGTCTGAGTAAATATATCCATTTTTGGGATTTTTGACATTCTAAATAATGGTAGTCACTATCTTAAAGGTATTTATAGTTAATTAATTTCTAATAATTTTGTCCGTTTGTTCCATTTAACTTTATTTTTACTACTTGTACTCTTCTTCATTTAAATATATTTGTACCTGTTTATAAAACACGAGTTTATATTTTTTAATTTTTTTATTTTATAACCGTCGTTGAACAGCCGACCCAATTTTTGATCGGCTGTTCAACGACTATTAATGTTCAACTCCGTAGCCTTGTAATTTTGAACCCAATCCAGAAGACAAGGCAACTTTTGGATCAAGTATTGGGAGAAATTTGCCTTCGTGGAAATTTTTTTCTACTGAGGATATTACACGTCAGCACTGTGATCGATGCAACTCAGATGCAGATTCGTATCGACCAGCCATCACTGGGATTCGAACCTGGTTTACCTCATTGGAAGGCGAACGTTCTATCCCCTACGCCTTCGCTGCTCTTTTATAAATTTTAACTTTTATTACTTACTAGCCGCCTGAGGCGACCAGTTGGCGATCACGAACTCTCATCTTCGCCGTTCCACCTTGTCTTCCGCCTTCGCGACTCCACATTAATTCTGCTGCATTCAACACCATTGATCTGAATCTATGGTATTGATATCTTAGAAACATATTAAAGGAATGAAATAAAAATCTTTCACGGATTCCCTGCTGTGAGATTTCCTCTTTATATTCCCCTACACTACACGAACTCACTACTTAACGGTCCCGCACTGACCCCGCTGCCTTCGGGAACATTTGCGTTTTCATTTATAGGAAGAGAAAGCATCAGTGCAAATTTTGTTTTAAAAGTATTTTAATTTCTACATAACTGTACATACACAAATTCTTTAATATGGATTTCGTCTGTTCATTGTTTCAGTCATTTATTATTTTGTCATTTTTTTTGTTTAGTGAGGTAATAAAAATCTCGTAAACAATTTTAAACGATAAAATTTAAAAAAATTTAGTTCCTGAGAAATGTAAGCTTAATAAAAGCGTTAATTTTTTTTTCTTCAGATTTTAACTATTAGGAAGACTTATCGTATTTTAAAATATTAAAAAAAAACAAGATAACTAACCTTCTAAATCATAAGATGTTGTATAATCTTCGTATACAGCAGGATAAGATGCTTTAGTGCCATAATTTCTGTAAGGAGTTGGATCAGCTGCGTAGCACGTTTTCTTGCCATCCAAATTCACGCACGTTTTATTGCCATCCAAATTCACGCACGTTTTATTGCCACAGGTGTCAGGAGGATTTGGATCGGACTCAGAAAAATGCCGCCCCAGAAGATACACCAGGACAACAAAAAATCCCTAAATTAAAATAATTGTGAAAATTGTTTAATTATGTCTCTATAAAACATAAAAAAAATAACAGCTTAAAACCGTTTTCAATGTTATTAGTGTATTCTTATTGGGCAGAAAAATCATGTAATGGGATTCTCATATGTATAAAAAAAAATTAACAGAGGACTAATTGTGAGACACGAAGTCAAGCATTCAGGGAGGTCAGTAAGCCGCTGGGTGACCACTTTTGCACAGCCTGTGAAGGGACTGAAGGTGTGCGGTATTGGCCCTCTTTAAACTGCTCTACCGTAAATTGCTAGACATCGAGCGCAGATCGTCGGACTACTATCCCCTCTGCTGAAGATAAAAGTGATGGAGTGTCTTCGGATCATCCTCTGGGATGTTTTCCAGGTCGTCGCCAGTAGCCCATTGCTCACCTCTAGTACAACGTAAATAAAATATTATTGATACTACTAAAAAAAGTACGAAAAATCTTTGTTAAAAAAAATTTAAAAATATTATGTTAATTTTATATAAATTATTTATTAATATCTTATTTAAATCATTATTTCAGAAATATTTGATGTTCTTTGTTGAAGTTATATTCAGCTACTAGACACTCCACTATGGAAGTGCCCTTTTTACGCCTGAATGTCTTGCCATCGATTTAGCAAAATCATCGGGAATTGGATGATATATTCAGATTCTAGAAGCTGATTAGAAGCTCTGAAAAACCGTATCATCGAACTGCATTTCACGATTTATATTACGATAACATAACACCTTACATAACATAACAACATAACATAATATATCACGATAACATAAATCGTGAAATAGGAAATAATATAAATAGGAAAAATATTTTTAGATCTCAATGATAAAGGGTTTAGAATTCTGTTACCTCGGTTTCCTGGACATGTTGGAACATCAGGAAATGAAATTACAGATTGCATAGCAAAATTAAATATTTCTTTATATTCTTAAATATTCTAATTATTTCAGAATATTTCTAACAGACCTATTTCTCGCTCTGATGCAATTAAGACAGTGACAAAGATATTAAGTACCAATTCAGATTAAAAGTCAATAGCATTAATCAAGTAAATTAGAAATGTTTAAAATCTTCAATATATTTCATAACACAAGTCTTTATTAGTTTGTTTTTTTTTAAATTCCTGAAATAAGCAAATTTTATCTGCATTTTGTGAACAAATTGCCAATATGAAAAGTTTTTTTTCTTTATAGTATTCTTTATATTTTTTCTTTATATTTTTCATATTATTTTAATATTATTGAAGGTACTGAAAATTTTTAAGAATAAAAGATGTCATAAATTAGATCAATTACACCTCTAAAAGAAAAATTGATACCGAAACCAACGGTAAGGTTGGCGGAAAAGTTTCTTCCTGTAAACTTTTATAGATTCCTACCGGGTCTACTACCTTTACCTAAGTGAGCTGAAAGGTTTTTTGTGAAGGATTATCAACGATAAATTAAAATATAACGCAATAATAACTAAGCAAATATTTCAATAAATATAATTTACATAAATACATAATAAAATATTTTGATTGTATCTTATTTGAAAGAGACGCAATTATGCGAATATTTATGGTATTTGTCCATCTTGCATAAGTGCATAAAAAATTTGAACGTCTTACATGAAGAAACCTTACCTACGGTANAAATATTTTGATTGTGCTTAATTTGAAAGAGACGCAATTATGCGAATATTTATGTTTTAGTTATTTACCAAATAACTTTTGAAACATTCCAGAGAATAAGACGATCTTTATCATTTTTAGATAACAATTTTAATTTTAATTCATGTACTCGAAATATTCTGGTAAATGTCTTTTAGCATGTACTCATTCTATAAAAAGCTATTTTTATCTTCCACTTCATATTTTTATTTATGAAACTTCGTAGTAAATACCTTTGTTTCTAGAGATGAAAGAAACAACCCCAGGTAGATTGTAAAGTCTACCTTGACGCTTTTACAACATAAACACGGGTATCCCGGTGTTAGGACCGCCCTTAATATGCATTTTTTGTAATCCTTATCAAAAATAGAAAGCAAAAAATGCTTACATATCGGAGTTCGCAAATTAATATTTAAGCCATTAGAAAAAAAGAATTAGACAAATCACAGTACAGCAAGACAAATGTAACAAATATCAAAACAGGTTAAATTGAAACTTAAAGTTGTTTTGAATAATCACCTTTCAATTCCTGTCTGTTTTCTACCAAAATCAAACCTGTTTTATTGTTTATCATATCGCCTTCTTGCACAGTGATTTGTCAGATTTCAGCAGCGTTGCTTTTTCACGGTTTAAATATTTATTAGCTACCTCCAACTAGTATTTGTTAACAATGTGTATACTTTTTATTTTCAATTTTGATAAAGATTCTAAAAATAGTTATTGAGGGTAGTTTTTGGGGAACACCTTATACAGTTGGAACTGCTTCAATAAAGGAATTAACAATTAATAATAACAACAAGTATAACATATTTGTTTGATTTAATTTTACTATTAAAGATCTATTTTAGACAGTATAGGTATTTTTATTCTTCTATGTTAACCTGCGGAAAATTATATAAACACTATTTCCTTATTCATTCAAAAACTAATTAATATTTTTTAATTGGATTAATATTTCCATTGAAATTTCTTTTGAACAATTTTAATTTTAAATTATAAGGATGAAAAATATTGTTTTTAATTTGAACTTTGTAAAGTTTTACAAATAGTCACTACATCAAAATTTGGTAACTAAATTCTTAAGTAACTTTGGAAAAAAGATTAAACAAAAAAATATTCAAGTTTATTCATTAGTTACTGAATAAATAAGGTAATTGCGTTCGTAAAATTCTCCGTTTGTTCACATGGAGGGAATAAAATCACGTTTTCTGTCTTAACACGACTATTAATAATATTAATGATTCTGTTAATATTTTACGTCGATTAATAAGTTCCCATAAAATCTCTGAAAGTTATTTAATTAATATTGCGAATTACACTATACTATGACAGTACTGTTGAAAACAAATTAGTTTTAAAAAGAAAGAAAAATTTCTAATCGAAATAGAATAATATTAGCTAAAAATTTTTACTTATTTTTTAATAACTATGTTATAAATACCGAACAAAGGAAACAAATCATTTATAAACTTCTTAAACTCAATAGCTCATAACCAGTTTTGAAAACAATAATATTTTGTAGTCACGGATGTTTAGTTCTAATATCTACCGCTAGGTGCCACTTGGATAGTTATTGATAACAGTATTTCAAACCTCACCATAATTCGAAATCAAAAAATATTGAGTCATCAAGCTTAAGAGTTATTCCCAAAATATAATTACATGTTTAGGTGTAATTACATTTTACAAAATATAATGACATTTTTAATGTAGGCGGATTTTTCAATCTGTGTTTTTATAAAACTAAATAATTTTAAATCAACGATAAATTTTATTTTTATTTTATAATTACGAATTAGTTAAAACTAAGCAAATAAAACGGTACTTAGCGTGCGATAATGCCGATTATAAAATCAAATATTACCTACATAAATAAAAAATAAATAAAAAAAATGTGTTATACATACAATTACGATCACACCAATGAGCGTAAACTTCGCGTTTCGATTCATATTTCCAAAAAATGTCTCTCAATTCTGATGACATAAAGCTGGTAGAAACCTGCTGTATTTGAGAACTCCGCACGCTTAACTCAGTTAAAAAGAATGAGTGAGTTATTCACAATGAGAATATAATTGCCTATTTCGCCTACGACATCTCGATGAGAGCGTTCGTTATCAATTTATTCTTTCCCTTTTGTATTATTTAATTTGTGTTGTCAGACGCTCACAAATGAATAAAAGATGTATTTTGTGTTCACTTCAATTTGTCACTTTAATTTACAAACAACGAAAGGCTTTTAAGAGAAATTCATTATTTTTTTGTTATCGGATCAATACTTCGTAAAACGTTGTAGGTGGAAACAAGTTTATTTTTTTAATTCGTGGGTAGTATCAGCTTTTTAAGCTTAATTTGGCGTGGTTACAAACGTCAGAAACTATCGAAAGTGCAATATTAGCACTAAAATATTGATGATGTAACTCAGCTTTTATGCGGCTTCTTTCTTTGTTTATACTCACGTCTGAATGCGTATATATGTAATTTTATTTTAACAAATTGATATAATAATATATTAACTAATATATTTTAAAAAATTGATATAATAATGATATTATGTGTACCGCTAAAAATATACTTAAATTCGAAATAAAATGTATATTCATCTACCTACAATAATAAAATGAAGAGTACGTGTCTCTGTCTTAACAACTCCAGAATCGTTTGTGCTAACGTTTCAAAATTCGAACAGTGGCTGAAAGGGGCCATTACAGCCCCCGAACTCTAAAATCGTTCAAAATTTTCAATTTGATGGTTCGGGAGAGACGTTAGAAAAGCGGGATTTGGTGTAGAATTAGCCATTGATATAAACTAAACTGCAGACGATTCTGTCTTTTAAAATATTTTAATTATAATCAGTGTTATTTGCTAGGTAGTAGCACTCTTTAATAAAAAAAAAGAGCATATTGCTCGGTCTTTAATGTTGAATTACTTTTTATTCCTTATGTCAGTTAAACTTAATGATCAACGTTAACGTGGTAGAATAGGCGAACTTTTAATCTGTGTTTTTATAAAACTAAATAATTTTAAATCAACGAAAAAATTTTTGAAAAATTTTATAATAGTCGTTGAACAGCAGGCCCAATTTCGGACTTACGACTACTAATGTTCAACTCCGTAGCCTTGTAATTTTAACCCAGTTCGGAAGACAAGGGAACTCCTGGATCAAGTAATGAGAGGAATTTGCCTTCAGAGGACTTTTTGATGGAACTAACCCGCATTTGCGTTATATGGAAAGAAAAACCACTAAAACCCCCCATGGTTGGCCTGAAATCAAGGGGACTCTAACCCATGATCCGTCTACCACTGATGATATTTTAGGTT